GCTGTGACACTGGAATGGTAAGGGGGTTTTAATCCAGGCTACTCGAGAGATTGAATCGTTCTGTGTATGTATCTCGTTTCTGATGAAAAGATCATATTTCGTACTATGTTCCTATACATCGTCGTTCTGTTGCCTGCTGCAGGTATAGTAGACATCCTTCTACCCACAGTAGGTCGGATGATATTCATCCGTCATTGACCTGGCGTTGGTAAAGTAACAAGCGCAGTTTTGAAAGCAGAAATTTGAAGACACGTAGAGTGGATGTTGCTGGTGAAAATTGAGTTCGTAGATGGTGCTAAAGAAGATTACTCTCGCGCTGTGGAATGGAACCGAAACAGCTGTTGTCCCGAGCTTGGGGGTGGTATCCACTGTCAGATGCTCCGCCTATAAATCAACCGAGCTCATGGGGGAGACAGGCCGACGCCATGTTAACATATATAAACAAACCTTCCGTGCCCTAACTGATAAACGGCGAAAGCTACGCGCAACAAGCGATTGCACGCGAATAAAGTAGCGTAGGTGTATTTATCGCGGTGTATAAAGATATAATTTCGTTGTTACGCATCTTTTTCTAAAACCCAGAGAGTTAGCAAAAACCAAAGAATGAATATACCAAATATGGATTACATCCGCGTTCCAAGAAAAATTTAATTGCCACCGAGGATAATTAATAAATGTCAATCAGTTCGGTGAATTCGGAGGTGTCGGTGGAAAGGTACGAGCTAAAATGATTTTATGCCTGTCTTATGAACAATCTAATGTTACCCGACCGCTGGACAAAGATCATAGGATGGCTAATGGTCGAAGATCCGTTCGTCTCGAAGAGCCCGAGACTAATCAGCGCGAGCATTAATCTTCCCCGTGGATCCTCGACCCAATTTTCGTAAGGTCAAGTCGCAATGGAGACGTTGATTGGATTCTACGTCAGTCCAGAAGTAAACACGTTTTCTACCCTATCGTTGTGTGGCTTACTTTTTCTAACTTTTTAAGATTAATGAATTTTTTAGAGAAAACTTCTCAAAGGTGTTATCATATTCTCGATAATTGGGGCTTTCCGGTGTAACTCGTGTCTTTTGGTTAAGATACTCGAGATATAACTTGTACATTTTTAAGGTACCTGTGCTTAGCCGTGGTTCGTTGTCAACCTGCCTCGAGCATTTCAAGTTCCTTTTTATATTAATCATTGAACTGTCTGCGGACAAAGTTCGAAGGTACTAATGCATCCGAGGTTAAAGTTCATCGTAGTGGATATCATGGTTAAGTTGTTCGCGACACTGAAATGAACGGACCACCGGCCATTCTTAATGCGGTTCGTTGGAAAAATATTGCTGTGTAATTGTAAACCGCAGCCTCCCGGTGGCGTGGACCGTTTATCATCGTCCCTATAGGTCGTTGAGCGAGGTTCGGGGGTTCACCGTGCTAAGAGTTAAAACCTCAGCATGACTGGTGGCCTCGGTAGCCGATAGACGTGTCATTTACGCGTCTACGAATCAATAGCCGCTTCACTTTACACCCACCTTACATCATTAGTCATTTTATAGGGCCCGTTATATAGTGTGCCCTCTTTACATGCACGAGGAACGCGAACCCTCGTGTATCTTCGGTTACTAGAACCTTGTTTAGAACGCCTCTTTTTGTTTAGTTGACCACCATTGTTTGCTAAACTCTATGTTACTCTACTCATTTCTTCGTGAAAAATATGCTTTTGTTTCGGTTTCTGGTGATAATTTTTCCACTCCAATTTCAATCCTATATTAACCCGCAGTTCTATGTAGTATTAAATTAAATGCACTTACCTTGTATCCATCCAATTATAAAGGCTCCTTACGCTATTCATCTTACCTCCGAATAAACGTCTAACTAAAGTTTCGCATTTCCGCTCGGAAACTTCGCGCGACGTTTCTCTGGAAATCGAAGAAATCGTTGGGTTACGCAACAAAAATTTGAATAGGACTCCCAGGGACTTAACTAAGGATCGGAGGGTTACCCGTTCGATTTGACACGTTCCATAAATCTTGATGGGGTAGGACGAGAGCACTCGACCGGTCGCTCGGGGATCGTCAGATGGTGGTTGATTCGAAAATCGGGTGGTAAGCGTGCAAAACCGTTCGACGTTTCTTCGTTGAGCAGGAGACCTGGCAGGGAATAGGTCCACGGTTCACGCAGGACTCTGGCGCGTGTGTACACACACACACACACACAGGATCGTTATAATGATTAGTTGCCCCGTGTCACGGCAGAATTCGAATATTAGCCTGGCAGCATCTCCTACACTAGACACTCCCCGCTACACTTTATTAATTGTTCTGCATTCGAGCCTGGTAAAAGGTTGCCAGACTGCGATTCATTTTTCAACCACTTTTCTTGCGTTATTCTAGATTTACCTCGATATCTTCTACCGTTTTATATTATTCTTATGTATATTGCATTAACGCTTCGCTACATTTAGGATTACGCGTGCCATGGTCAGGTATAAAGTCATTAAGGACAAAGGGTTAACTGGATGAATTGGCGTGTAATTGTCCAGATAATGGGGATTTACAAACTCCGGACGATATTCGAATGGGGTACCATTGTAATTTATGAAAAGAAAATCAAAGTAGTTAAGCAGGTATCGGGATTAGACTTGAAAGTCCTCATCGAAGCTTTACATTAAGTACGCGTAGTACCGCTTCGGCGAGTTTCAACCGCAGTCAACTTTCAAAGCAATCTCATTCGCGATTCCTTTTTTAAATCGAAGGGAAAGAACGAAAGGAGCGCGACGAACGCGACTCCTAATCCCCCGTGTCCGCGTGGTAGAGTTCGGGTAGCGCGTGGCGTGTAAGATTCTATTTGCGGTGACCGAAGAAATTAACAAACCCGAGCCAGTCGCAAGCAAGGTGTCCCCGCGGTGAAAACTTAACACCGTATACATGTACGCGTCGCGGACGCGTGTAGAGAGCTGCTGCCGCTTCCTTCATCTATCATGCGAACCATGACAAACCGGGGCTCAAAAGCAGCCGCCAGCGTGGCAGTCGACTTCTTGCCTTCTACGCTTAGTCTCAGGTGAGCCTCTACCTGTCCGTCTACGTGGGATCCTCTTCTTCTCTCCTTCTCCCGCTACCTCCACATTTATTAACATTTAAGCGTTAACGACATTTCTCTGCCGTTCACGGGACATCGAAGAAACCGGAACCGTCCTCGCTAAGCCTCTTCCCTTGCTCTCGAACTCACCATTTCTTTGCCGTTGCCTGAAATTGCAAATCGCTTCGAGGAAGTTCGCGGCTACGCATTTTTCCTTGATCGAAAATAGCAACGTTAACGTACCGCTCCGTATCCGAATTTTGAATCGCAATAGCAGCAGATAGTTGTGCATCTTTTCACTTCGACGTTCAAACGTCTCGTTCCCATCGAAACACCGAAGACGCAGCGCGAGCTATAGAATTCGCCACGATCTTTTTGCTTTGGCCAAGTTTTTTGCGCCGGCCGCGTTATGTCTTTTACAGTTTAACTTTCTACATTACACGAAATCCCCTGCGTTTCATCACAGCGCTGGTGCACCGCGAGATTTCACCTCTGAAATGAGTTTCTCGTTATTTACCTTTTTGCACGGACCGCGATTACGCGACACTAAACACCGAACGAGCGCGTTTTCTCCCAACCGACATTTGCTTTTCGTCGATTCCCACATGGCTCGCTTTTTCACCGGTTTCCGTGTATCAGGTGTTCAAAAGTCGCTTCATACCTGATACGAGAGAAATATCGGCGGCAAGACAGGCGTGCATTAAGGCGCTACATCACGCTGTAGATGAAAGGTAGTTGTATTTAGAAATTAATTGCACCGGAGGTACTGTATATTGCTCAGGAGTTGGCGAGGCACCTACGAACTGAAGGGGGCAGAGGCAGGGAAATTTCACCGTTCGGTCAAAGTTGTTCAAATAATAAATACATTGATATTTTTTAAAATTTAACTTGGAAAATCAGGCTTCTAAGGGTTAATTTTTTTTACATACATATATCTATTGCTCTCTCAGCGCGGTAGCTTTGTAGATGTAACGGACTTGGCCAATAACGAAAATGCGTGTAAGTAAAAGTTTCGCTGTTACGCGACAGCCAATCTAACTGTCCTCGCCAACTCCCGAGCAACGAACTATACGAGCTCACTCGACGTAGGATCGCAAAGGGTTAACCAACGGTAGAAGTGGCGGGAAAAAGAGATCTCGGTAAAGAAGAAATGCTTTCGATATTTTATGGGGAAGTCATATTTTTATCTTGTCGCAAGGCCACCGCCGCAATCGCATCGAGGGAGGACCACGAGAAGTCAAGGGTTAGTAGCCCCGAGTCGTGCAATGTTTGGCCTCCCCCGTCCGACCGTCGCGACCATAAATCTTACGATCGTCAAGGGACGACTCATTCACGCCACTTTGCTTTCCGACCGATATCCGACTAGCAGGAAACTCCTGAATTCCCGCGACTTTCAGCTTGATCAAAGTGTCTTCGATCCGTCTTTCCTTTTTCCATCCGGGCAGATCAGTGGACGAAAGATTTCTTCCTCGACGTTATTGACTTCGTCCAAGAAGTTATTCCGGAACACTAATAGCGTCGCTAGAAGTAGTCTGTCGGTTCGATGGAACTTTGGCTATGGATTTACTTGAATTCGGGCAGAACTAAAGGATTAATGCAATACTTGTCCACTTTGCATAATATTCTCATATCGAAGAGGGTGATAAACGTTAAACGATGCGAATTGAAGAATTGGTGATTCGAAAAATTGGAAAATCGGAGAAGAATCGAAAAGTCGTGGAATCAGAGAATCGAAAGACACGGGAAGCCCGAAGGCAGCAAAAAGGGCGATCTTAGGATTCGTCGAAAGTGCTATTCCCCGGTTTTCCAGTTTTTTCGCCGGTCCTGGCCGGAAGGCCCAGCGTTTCCAGAGCAGAAAAAGTTAATAGCGTGGAGAAATTAGCCGGCGGGGTGGTGGAGGAGGATCGTTGATCGGGGGTTGCGTTTCGTTGGGGTGTTCTGCACAGATGCAGCGATAGCAACAGTTCGGTGTCGGCTCGTTCAGACAGGAGGCCGCATATGAGCTCGGAGCCACGGCATCGTATGGGCTTGACTCACACGCATCACGCGCAGTCATCCATCATTGTCAGTCACTTCACTGACACAGCCGTTCGTCCGGTCTACGGACGCGCGTACGGGACTCTCTCGATTCGTGACTCTCCGTCCCTCCTCCGTGTGTTCTGATTTCCCGCGAAACCGATGCTAGAACCTAGAACTTTACAGCGTTACCGATACCATCGCTCCGACACACTACTCTGCGAGCAAATGTCTCCGAGCACCTCGCGAATTTAACGTTAAACCTGGATTCTTCTGTTCTAGTCATCCTCGGGACCTGTAAATAATTCAACGAAATTCTGCGTAACTGCAACGGCAAAGGACACGGCGCGTGAAAGGACATGATTTCCGATGACGGCGCGCAATTCGTGCGCGCAAATCAATTTTAATAGGGTGATAAATGTGGCGCATCGCGCTGGTAAAATATGGATCCAGCACGGCGCGCGAGGGCCGCGCTAAAAATAATATTTCAGTTCGATTGCTCTGATATTTCGAGTCATCCATCATCGTCGCTTCTTTCGTCGACACGAGGCTCGCAGGAAACGACGATCCAAATACATACATTTCAGCAGCCTCCTCTTTCCGAGTATGGTCACGATTTTCCGTACAGAATTCAGGAATTTAACCCCCACGTTCCGTAGGAATATTTTCATCGAAAATACGTGGCTACAACGGTGCTTGTATCACTGACCATCTGTCTTACCGATCGATACGGGGAAACGAAGGTGCCAGTGATAAAGAAAGGACAAGACAATCTACTTTTAAGTTTGGTACGACCTGTATTTTTGCGTCGGTGAACGAATGTACACGTGTGCGATGATCACGTTCCTTTCTCGTTCGAGAATCGGCTCCTCGAGGAAATTATACATTCAGAATCGAATAAACAACGTGTGTGTCCGTGTGTATGGATGTGTGTTCGTGTTTGTAGATGTGTGTGTGTACGGTTACCGTAAGCGCGCTATGTACAAAGAAGTCCTCGTGTAAACAACCACGGCTCCTAATGATTTATACAAACCAGACGACGGCGTATTAAATATTATTCCCGCTGTTCAGGTGAAAATCAAAGATACACGTCCGCTAGCTACGCTTATCTCGTATTTTAACTATTCGGTTCATCACGACGATCTTTATTTGGTTCGCTTAAAGTAGAGCCTACAGTCGGGCCAGAATGAATTGGTTGCTCAAGGCCAACCCCGCCACTCGGTCTCTCTCATCGCAGGCACACCCTCTCCGTTTCTCGAATTGATACCTTACCAATCACAAAAGCGGGGCTCGTGTACGCGGCGCGATACATAGTGGGGGAGGTAGCTCCAAGCGATTAATCGATTCTATCCAAATTGTAGTAGAAATTACGATCGGAAACGCGTAGTCTGTGAGAAAAGTGATCGGATTCCCTACAAAGCGTCGCACAAAACGATCCGACGCGTTCGTTTCGTTAACCCTAAAAGAAATAAAAATGTGTCCCGTGTACAGTAAAAAATAAACATCGTTAAAATTAACGATTCCCGAACGTACATAACTAAAACGCGAATCGATCGGTTCTTCGATGTTCGCACGATCGTCTAGATGCTTTCGTCTCGAAAAACGTGTAAAACAACGTCGAGCGAATCGCGGTAAATCGGTGAGCGAAATAAACGTCGGAAAAGTTTCATAATTTTTTTCATGAAACGTTCTCGCTGCGAATGGTGTCCTTACGAGTGCAGTTCGTCTCGCCCCTAATTCGAATCAGGACAAAGGGTTTCTTAGAGTAGGCAGTTACACGATTATTTCCTGCCTTTGATTAAAAACTAACGCATTGCACCTAGGCTCGTCTCACTCGGACTCGGTGTTCTCTAACAGTGACGATGTCGTGTTTCGTGGAAATTTCGTTAAAGTAATCGTCTTCTCCTAATAGGTATATATATACACGCGTTTACTCACTATCGATTATTGCTCGTGAATCTACAGCCACCCTTATCGACGTACCGCAAATTCTTTCCTTCGATCTTGGCTATCCCTTTCGCGTCGTTCTCGATACACAAGTCTCGCAACAACATGGCAATGGGGCGCGAGCACGAAATGGCGCCAACTCGTATCGCTTTGCTTCGATCGAACTGTACACACACCACAAAGCTAACTCCATTAACGCAGAAATCGTTCACGTTAGAAAGATTGCACTTGCACCTCGTTTCTCGAATCGCACAGTTCACGTTGATCGGTCTGCTATCACTTCCTGGCTGGCTTCACGTGTTCGCGACACTGAAGATCAATTTAATCGTTGATAGGGTTTAGGTAATCATTGTTTACGGACGGAGGTGATCACACCGAGACGAAGATCGTCGTTTAGCCTTAGCTAGGGCGTTTCACTTCGTCTTGTTCATCGGGTTGACGCAAAAGTAACGGGTGTTTACTGAAATATTGCACTGACGCTGTAACCTGTATATACTTCCTCGAATTTTCAAAATTAGGATCGTGGGAACTTCCGTCACTTCACATCAACCCAACGATATGCACGTATGTAGCTTTAAAGCAGACTTCGTACTAAAGTTCACTCGACTTGGGGTGTCGCGTTCGGATTGCTTTGTCGATGACGCGCAGCTTTCAACCTCTCGAACGAGGTAACACTGCCTTCGAATTTAGCTGAAGATTCGGATAGCCATCCTGCACCCCGAACAAGGCAATCCGAGAGCGAACCGCAAGCTTCCGATGGGTCTCAGGCTACGTGTTCACTCAAAGATCGAACAAACCCAGAAGAATCGCAGGATTAGCCACCGGAGATGTCACCGTTCACTCGAGAAAACTGTAACACCACCACTGAAACCAATTGTCGTCGTTCACCTCGTTCACAGACAAAGCGATCTAGAAGGAAATATTCTTCTAGCGTCAACTACCGACCCGAATCCGCGCATTCGTTATCGTAACGCAGACATCGACTGGACTCTCAGTCGACAGCCTCGATCTCGACCAAACTCGAATCAACGGGATCTGCAGAACACTCGCGCACGATCCGCTCCAATCGACTATGTACACATCACAATGCACGCTCGGTCAGCGGGCCGAGGGATCAGTACAGCGTGTTCAGCAGACACTGCTCGTCGTTCCAATCCAACTGACAGGGATTCTCCGTCTCGTGAACTCAACTGAGTTGATAGTACTCCGGCGCGAAGTCGTTGGCTAGGTTCGTGAGGAAGTTGAAATCCGAGGAGCTGTTGCTGTTGTCGGCGGACGGTGGCGGGGCCGCGCCGTGGACAGGATCACCGTAAAAGTTGCCATAATTTCCGTAAGTGTCACCGTTGCCTTCGGCTTGACCTGCGCTACCGGGTGGAGTGATCACTGCTGCGGTGGCAGCCGCGATAGCGGTCGCAGTTGTCGTCATGCCGGGCGCAGGGAACGGATCTGGCGAGGAGACGTAGCTGTTTGGAATGTTGGACGCTTCTCCGCCTTGATGGACGTGCAGTTGATTGGTCTGCTCGTAATAGGCGCTTGGATGACACTTGTTCCCCGCTCTGTAGTCGCCCGTGCTGGGATGCATAGGCGGTTGATGAGCCACGTATCCCTCCGCTGTGTGCTGCTGTTGGTGTTGATGTTGCTGAATGTCGTTGTAGTAATGCTGACCAGTCTGCACGGATACGGCTGCGTGACCATGGGAGGCTAGATTCTCGCTGGTACCGTGGTAGTTTCCGGTGGCGGGGTATCCATAGTTTCCAGGAGCCATGTAACCTTCCGCGGATTGATCGTGTTGAGTGGAGTAACCCTGACTGGAACCGTAGGTGTTGCCTTGCATACCTCTGTGATAAGAGCCATGATAAGGTGGTCCAGCTTGAGGATAACCATTATACTCTCCGCTAGTATTAGGGTATTGGTTTTGCTGTTGATGGAACTGCATACTAGAGTTGTACATCGCCCTGGAGGTGCTACTCGTCGATCCACGAACGTGGTGCCCGACTCTGGGGCCCAACACTTGATTCTGTCTCGCGTAGAGCGGATGAACTTCGCCCGGGTACGAGATCCTGGGCTGCTGATAGGTGTCCCGAGTGCAGTAAGTGCTTTGTGCCTGGGTTTGCTGCGTGGCCGTCGGGACGGTCTGTCTGCTAGGCACTCCATTTCTGTAGTCGACGGATGATGCCGATTGGTAGACGCTCTGCTGCTGAAAGTGTGTTTGCGGGTTGCTGGCGATGTTCCTAGCACCGTGGGGAGACATCGTACCAGCGTTCGTGGATCCGTGCATCATTGGCGCAGCCACCGAGCTGGTCGAGGACGGGGAGCTTCTCGGTCTCTGCATGTAGGCTGCATGCGTGGCTTGGATTCCTAGGGGACTGCCTTGTTGCAGTTGAACGGAAACTGGAGTACCAGGCGTCGAGGATGGCGTCAAGCTTCTCGTTGAATTCTGACCAGGTAGAACGGGTGTGCTGACGGTGGAGTCGGGCATCGCCAACAGTACGCCGTTGCTGTTCACCGAGCAAAGCTCCTTCGTGTTCGCCGACGGTGACTTTTTGCTGACGGAGATTTGCTGTTTCACAGGATTGGGACTCTTGTGGCCGCTTTCTACCTTCACTCGAACGTCGCTGGGCTGTTTCTTGCTGGCCACGCTGGGCGACGTCACCTCGCTTCCGTCTTGAGACCTCGAGTCGTCGTCCGCTATCATCTTCTCGAAGGAGCTGGACACGCTGTTCGTGCTACCGACGCTGCTGGCTCCGTTGCTGTTCGCGTTGAAGCCAGGGTTGCTGTTGTTATTGTTCGTGGCGCTGGGCGTGTTATTGTTGTTGCTACCGCGACACCCGGACGATCCGAGCTCCGTCACGTCGCCGGACAACGTGCTACCCACGTCGCTCACGCCAGAGATATCACAGTTGTGGCAGCTCTTTTTCTCGTCGCTGTCGATGGCGAGCATTTTCTCCGTCTTGGACTTCTCCATTCCGTCCGACGTCGACCCGTCCTTCTCGTCGCCGTCCTCCTTGCTCAGCGTTTGCCGCTTGTGCTTCATCCGTCGGTTTTGGAACCACACTTTCACCTGGAATCAGATCGTTTTCGCTCGTGGTAGTTGCGAATAGGCGTGGAAGGGGCTATCGCGCGCTTTCTCGTTGTTCTCACCTGCCTTTCCGTGAGGTCCAGGGACGCGGCGATCTCTATTCTTCGCGGTCGGCATAGGTACTTGTTGAAGTGGAACTCCTTCTCCAGCTCGAGGAGCTGCGTGTTCGTGTACGCAGTCCGTAGCCTCCTCGGCAGACCATTTTCTGGAAAATGGGAAAGTTATTCTTCGTTTCTCACGAATGATATACAGGGTGCCCCGTAACTGGTGGTACGAGCGAACAAGGGGTGATTCTACGTGAAACATTAAATCGAAAATGTAGAATAAAATTTTTTCATATGACGCTTTATTTTCGAAAAGAATAAGCTTGAAAATTTGTCGAGCACGCGTGCACTTGGACCAACTTCAGCTCAACGGATTTCAGTGTAAAATAGATGTAATCGTGTCATCATGTTGACAATGTATTGTAAACATTACAAGAAACACGGAAGTACTCTCCTATTCGGAACAGTAAGATAGCAAAATCCGTCGAATTGATGCTAAGTACACGCGTACTCGCCAAATTTTCAAATTTATCTTTTTGGAATATAAAGCGTCATGTGAGGTCAGAATTTTGGGGAAGTTTTGTGTCGAGTGCAGCAATTTTATGTACAGGATATTACACAGTCTATACGGGTGCACTCTTATAAATCATAGCATCGTTTTATAACAAAAGTTTCAAGTCCAAGGCAAGGCGTTAACGGTAATGCCTTGATTGAAATATATTTGATCGAATGGTGTGACTCGTTCAATGAATACATAAAGCTGGTGGAAGATCGAATAGCTAGTATCATTAGTTATCGCAAGACGTTTGACGGAATGAGATGAGGATCGTAGCATATGAGAAATTTCTCATGCGTTGCAACCTGCCATAGTTTTAGCGAGCCAGTTCCTATTGCGGCAGAGCCAATTTATCCGCGAACCTCTAGTAACCGCATGTTAATGTATACAATTTTAGTAACACGTTCGTTGCATCTTCCTTGTTTCTTTCTGTTTCGTTAAATTCCTTGCCAAGCGAAACGCTTTATCAAACTTCACATCTGAAATTTCGAGTACCCCGAGAAAATGCCTGCAAGCACAATGAACGTTGCTGGTAGGCTGAAGCTGAACACTGATATGAAATCTTAATGAAACTCTGCCATTCGGAATGGAAGAGACGCGGTCTACTAATAATCGTTACAGTTATGGTTTACCGACTAAATAGTTTACTAATTAATGTAGATTAAAAATTATAACTAGGGGTACGTTCGAGGTGCCATAATCCTGGATCTGTTGTGCAGGAAACATAAATATTATCCTGGCAATCTGTTTGAAAAATCGTGGTATGAATATATTAATGAAAAGCTGAAATAATAGCTAAATAATAATAACCGTATCCGTTGATACAAAAAGTTGTATCTCGCATGGGAAGTTAACCCTTTGCACTCGGATGTTCCATATGAGGGGGCATCGTAAATCTAACAAATTTTGTTAGTAAAGGATCAAGTCTAATAATGAGTGCAAAGGGTGAATTATAAAAAAAAGCTGCGAATGCGTCGAGCAGATAAATTCGGACGAAGCGTAGACTTTTCATCGCGGCATCGTCGTCTCCAGTTTTTGCACGATTACGCCACTCGAACGATCGCTTATAATTAATGATCATTTAGGCGATTCGAGGGGTCCCGGGGAAGCCCGTGTTCCGAACAATACAGGAACGAGAGCTCGCCGCGTCGATGGGGCCTGTTTCAGCGTTGTTCCGTCGAGTTGCTAGGCTCCTTAGAAACTTTTGGCCAAGTTCCCAGCCGGTGGTATTCCGTGTCGATGCGAAACACCTCGTAATTATTATCTAGTAAGAAACTTGTCGCGAGATAACGAGGGAAGCGTCGACGGGAAAGAGGAAGGGACTCCCGAGGATGGAGCGAATGTTCAAAGTAAGAACCCGGCGATATCTCTCGTCACGGCGGCCGACCGGTAATCTTCGTCGGTGTGATGTAAACAATCATTAATAGTCGCCCGTAGTAATTACAGAAATTTTACGCGGTGCTCGACGGAGCAATATTTCAATCAATGTCGATGATCGTGTGCGCGCACGCAATATCCTCGACTCTTCAAACACAAGCGGCTCGGTTAATGTAGAATTCAACCGAGGAAATATTACCGATAAAGTAACGGCGCAATTAACCTCACGGGTTATCCGGGATCGATTTTTCCCGTCGGCTAGATCCGCGTTGCTCGACGATATTCTGCTTCTCGTTGACGCAATGACAAAACGTTTTGTAGAGAAATTGAATTACGCCTGCGGTTTGCGACCGGCTCGCCTTGGACGTAATGTTCCCGTGATTGCGATTGTTCGCTCTCGTGAATAATTGAGCCGCTTGTTCCAGGAACGTTGTCTATTTCATTGTTGGCACTGGAATGTAGGTGATATCCTAATTGGATGTTCGCAAAATAAGAGAAAGGTTAAACAGGAATGAGTGACCTTTAGGAATTTTTTCTTCGAGGTAACGTTACATAGCGATACCGACAACTATGATTTTTTAAATAAACCAGGTCGATTACTCGTCCCTTCATCCAAGTCGCTAGATATACGACAGGAAATGAAGAATCGAGAACGATTTGCTTCTCTGTGGAAAAAAACTTCTATCACAGAAACCGATCGGTCTTCTTCCGACGAAAACCTTTTCGACAACCGAGTATCCTTTCGAAAAGGAACAATTCTATCGCACAACGTTGAATTTTCCGGACAATTCACCGATTCAAACGCTATGACCGATCGCCCGCCACCTGGACGTTTCGTATACACCGTATTCTTCGAGTAGCAGGGAGCATTGCTGCACTGTTTTTTTTTTTTTTTATCTTGAGCGGCCGTATCATTCGGAAAAAAGTGTTGTACGGGGTGACGCGGCGGAGGGTGAAGGGAGAGGGTGTCTTCGTTGTGGAGGGCTGAGATGCTAAACTACCCCATGGCGTGCGAGTGGATTCAGGGGTGGTCGAACGGCTGGGATGAGTCGTCGGGGGTTAAATAGGAGGGACAGAGATGGCGATATCGACGAAAGACGGAAAAAGAGACGGTGAAGGCCAGCCGTATGAAAAAAGAAGGACAAGCTGAAGACGATGGAGGGTGAAAGGAGGGATGACAGAGGGTGCAGCGGGGATAAGTCTGCACGTGGAGTTTTCATAGAGTAAAAGTGGACGGGGTGGAAGTATCGCGTGAGCGACACGGCTCTTATCGATATTTCTATCTCGGGATTTGCCGCGGGAAACCGTCGATACTTTTCCGAACAATGCCCGATCCGTGCGCTTTTACTCGCGTAAAACATTTTCCAGGTGATTTTAGTCGATGATTGGTACCCTCTTCGATTTGTTCGAAAACAATAATTACTTTCATCCTTTTTTCTTTCACTCTTTGTTTACAGACTTAGGAAACCCTCGACGCTTAGGTGATTATACCGTGTAAAAGTCAAGGTCGCAATCCTCGGCTCTGTATTTACGTTTTATGTTCGAGATGTAACCCTGTTCATCGGCCTCTGCGATGAACGGAACGCTGCAGCCGGCCATAAATCATCGGCCCCGGTGAAATTAGCGGCACTGGTTTTCAGACGAATTTGACGCTTTTTACCGAAAGACTATTCAGAGAATTCAAACTTAGGTCAACGTTTCCCTTCGTATCATTATCATAATCGAAATCGTTCTAGTCCGAGTAACCTCTGTCAATTTTCCATTTTAGAAAAAAGGAAGGAAGGATATTTATTTATTGATCGTAATAATATTATTGTGACGCTTTCGAAAACATAATTATTGTAACCGAATGGCCGCTGGAGGGGTGCGACCGATAGCGGAAGAAGGATCGCGCGGAATAGAGAGAGGGTGGCGTGTTCGAAACTCGGCAAATCCCGCGCGCGGGCTTTTAGAGGATAAGGGTGGTTTTCGAGGGGTAGGGACGACGGGATGGAAGTATCGCGTGATTGACGTGGGCCTCATCAGCATTTCGGTCTCGCGATTGGCTGGACGGACCTGTCAATCAACCGATATTCCACGCCTATTGGTTGTGTCTCGTAACCGGTGTAGTCTGTCGTCCCTTTTCCAAAGGGCTGGTTTTCGCAGAGGGCGAGAAAAGCCTGCTGTTGCGTACATTTATACTGCTTCTATCTCCTATCTCGTGTGAAAAACGTCGAACGAATTGCACTTGTAGGAATTATCTGGAATGTAAATATAATCAACGGGGTAATTTTTTTGTGGACGTTCCTCGAGTAGAAGACCCAATATTGCTTCCAGTGTTGGTACACGTAGAGCACGATAAAAATGAGAAAAGTTTTACACTGAAAGGATAGAACGGAGGATATAATGATGGAACGATGGACAAGAAATTCCTGATATAAACTGCCGAGACGGAAGCCATTAACCTTTTGCACTGCGTGTGTTTTTTCAGTCGCCAGAAATAAATGACGCTCTATGCTAAGTGCGCCCGCAAGATGTATACGCTCCACACAACTTTTGTGTACAGATGAACGAACTGGATGGGATCCTAAATTGGTAAACAAATAATAAGTGCGCCTGGTTATCGCTTCATTGTTTTTTCCCTCGTACCGGAACGTATTAGTCTTCGATGATGCAAGAGTCGGCGCGTACGTGCCTTTCCAATCATACGAGCAAAGAAAATAAAACACAACGCAACTACTGTAAGAAGTAATCGGGTGCGGACTTGTACAAGAAGGCCAGCGTTCATCATTTTTAAGCTTTAGTCTTCCGTTCTGCACGTGATAAAAGAAAAGTTAATAATCGTTTAAGTAAGATAGTTACTTACTTTGTAAGAAATGCAATGTTAACGTCACACTGGGACCACGCATAACGGTATCGTAAGTTTTCATACGATTCAAATAAACATATTCAAGTTATGAATGTGTCAGAGTCGCCATTGCTCAAGAAGACTTTGTGTACTATTCGCACGGCTTACCGATATAGTGACAGGAATTGCTGCTTTGTAGTTGGAGGTTCTTTCACTCGGAGCAAAAATATATCAACGGACATCGCGGCGAGCTTCTCATTCTTCCAAAGAGTGGACGAACTGTCAGGCTCGAGTCAGAATGAAGAGTGCAGAGTGACGGGTACGCGAGCTTGCCGAGGTACACGCGAGCGCCAAAATAGAATTCGTATTTCCGAATACTGTGACACGTTCTAGTAACGCCAGCCTCTCTAGTTAGCTCGAGGAAAACACCTTGCGAGAAAAATTCCTGCCCTTTCATTGCGGCTCGAATTAGACCTTCAAAAGCTAGGGTGAACCTTTGCGTCAGACAATTCGTCCTTTTGTATGGATTTTTTGCCTTTTCTGATTCGAGAAGTGCCGCGGGATGAACGTTTGGCGCGAAGAGGTTTAAAATAGAGAGACCGGGAAGAAATCACGGAAAAAGCTACTGGCCGGATAACATTGTTAAAATAACATTGGTCTTGTTAGTCGCACGCGATGGATTCGTCAGTCGTCGAGTCGGTAAAGTTTCCTTCTCGTGGCGACGCCGTCGGCCGTCGCTTCGCACGTTCTCTTCAGAATAACAGGATGTGTTTCTCTTCGGGTACGAGAAGAGAAACGTATCTCTCTTTCTATTACAATTTCGGTATCCAGAAGACGTTCTTCTGCCCTCTGTTTTCCAGACAAGTCTGTCATTGAGAACCAGTAGTCCATCGGCTGTTGTAAAAAAATGTCTTCTACTTTTACACAGTGTGGCTTTTATTAACCCTTCGCACTCCGAATTATATTTCAATTTCGTCACCAGCTGCTCTCAACGTTTTTAAGTGTTTTACTTGAAATTAACCTGAGATAAAAACTGATGTCGAATCACACTCGACATAGGAGTGCAAAGGGTTAATGGATTCGGTAGAATCTAATTAAAATTGGACGACCGTGTGCAAATCTTATACCACGTAACGATAATAGTCCTGTCGTCAGAGCGTAATCGCACCCCTATCGAAGGAGTAGGGATAGTGTACTGGAGGATTATCGTCGATTTCCACCTTCCACGTTCTCTTAATCCAATAGTCCTTTGCGTAACACTTTCACAGTGGATGAAACGTCCATCAGTATATCCCGCAGGATCAAATCCTCTTGTGTACCTAGCCTGAACAAGAGAGATCCCCTCTCGAGAGACGAAGAATTCTCTTCATCGTACAAATAAAATGTGACGTATTAATCTCCGCGATCCACTTAAGTATTTTTATTTACATCGTGCATCCCTCGAGAATCAAACGTCATCTCGCGCGTACGAGTGAAAACAAGATTTGTGAAATCGCAGACAGCTGAATCGAAGAATAAATATATCCCAATTTATATTCCAGCCACTGTAGACCATGGTCCACGCACGACCGATTCTCGCCACGTTCTTAAGGCTCGACCGAAGAGTTCCTCCTTCCCGCCTGGGTTCGTTCGGCGGGCCAGTTCCCTATAGACAGGTGGGAAGGGTCACATGATGGCCGTCTTTGTAATTTGTCTTTTGTTTCCCCCGCGTCTTAGCTCGCGGGAAGAAAACTTGCGGGGTAGAACAAAGGACGGAAAGAGCCGGTCTCTATCGACTGACGCGCACAAGAGAGCCGCTTCCTTCTCCCTTCTGGCCGCTCGTTTTCTCTCCACCTCTTCGACATCGGCCCGTTGTCGGCGTAAACGTATGAAAAATGAGTGACGAGAGTTCGAAACAAACGAGAGGACAGCCGGTTCCGTGTTTCGGCACAGGTAGAGAACGCTCTGGCCCGTCCAGGGGTAATCGATAACCTCTCGATCGTTTCTGGCTCCACTCGATGTTCCGAAACGGTCCAGTTCGGAGTGGAATCACGTGGTCACATAAAAGCAATCTTTTCGGTGGCGAAAAAATTTCTATTAGCTCCTCGTGAAATAACTTAAATTCGCCAAATTTTACTTGAATTCAAAGATACCTCGGGCTTAAAGCTTCGGCCACCTCACAATTAGCAATAAACAGGATACGAATATTAATCTGTAGCAATCAACAGCTACCAGGAGATTGAAACAGTTAAGTCCATTCATCAACGGACTCAATATCCGGCGAGACAAAAAATGTTGCTACGACTTCGATTCCACTGCACCCATAGATTACATAACAGGGCCGATAGTAAAGGGAAAAACGAGAGCGGATACAATGAAGACGTTTGCACAGATTAGCTGCTGTATTACATGTAGCTACATTACTCTCCGGGTGTCCAGGTAATTGACGTTCCAGTTAACATCACAATATCGCACAGGAACCGTAGAGAACGGTGCAACGAAGTTGCAAGACTGCATCGACGGACAGTCGTTGATGACGTTGTAGATGGTCGGCTCGGTGAAATTCAACGCAGTCGATGTAACGATCGAAGAATTATTCATTGCGCGATGACGGGCTACTGGCGATTGGGTAATTTGTGGTGGATAAATCGCCGGAAGAGGCACGGGGTACGAGGGAAAGGAAGAATCGTCGTAAACTGTGGCTCATTACTGATTTATACGTGGAATGGAAACGGAGAGGGACACGAGCAAAATTAAACGCCCTGCTAGCGAGTGTTGGGAATAGTGGCTGTCTACAAGGGGTCTTCTCGTTGCTCTGGTTTTCGGATGTTGCGGCATGCGCGAGCTATAATCAATTAACGGTGAGCGAGACAAGAACCGCGGCCGACCACCGCGGCCGCAAAATATTTCACACCTTCCTGTTCCAGTTTCAGGGGAAACCAATTGTTTCGCCAGGTCTGCGGGCTTTACGGTAGGATTGGAGTCGACGAGATACGCTCCTCGTCTCACGCTGTTCTCGAGCAGAGAAAAATATTGGTGTCGTCTGAATCTTGTGCGGCCAAATGTGGTTCCAACTGAGCTGTACGGTTACTATTTTATTGCGGGGTGGTATCCTTGTCCGGTGGTCTTGAATCGAGCAGAGTCTTCCATTTTCGCAGTCTATTCTGAATCGATTCCGGATCAAATTTAACTTGTCGGTGCCAACTATAAGATCCCACATTCCATCTTCGTTCTTGACGTTGAGCAAATTACGCGGTATTTTCAGGATCCTTGCTGGGAATTCTGAATACATAGAACACAGAAATTGAACTAATCCAATGGAGAGGTAACGCTGCTTTCACCAAGACCAGCGAATCCAGTTCTTGGTAAACGCCATCGCGTCTCGAGTAGTACGGAATGAGAATAGCTCGGAACCGGTATCGAGGGGGAAGGATCAACGTCTTTACTTTCGATCCAACCGCTTCCACGCAGCGGTTTCATTAGGGACCTCCCTCCGTTCGTTAGAGCAAGTTCAGGATACCACACGCGTGATGTCTCCGGAGCCATAATCCTCTATAAATTGTATGCAAGAACCGCGTAACGACATGGCGCACCTTGTTATTACCGACTTCCTCTGCGTCTCGCGGCTTCCCTAGCCCCCTTGCGTGTCTTCTTAGCATTTTTCGCGAGCGGTTTCTTCCGAGAATTCAAGCTCGCCGCATTAGCATAACTTCCCAGTGGCTTCGTTTCGTTCTATCCAGGCGCGCACGCGCGAGCGCAAAAAGAAAAGAAGACAGAACGAGCCGCAAAAGGAATCGCGAAAAAAGGAAACTGGCGCCAAAGCGACGAATAGCCGGGGGAAACGGGGCACCTGGGGGAAAGGCAAGGGAGGGGGTGGATCGACAAGGAGGAAAACCGCGACGAAAAATTAATGAAAGGGTAGAGGAAACAGGAAAAAAGCATAATCGGCAACAGCGGCGTACTCGCGAAGACACGGCAACCGCGGCGCTGCAGCTGCTTCGACGGCCATGTTGGCCACATGCAACATGATTATGGTGGCCGCGAACCGGAGGAGAGGCCCTTCGTGCAAGAAAATTGGATGCACCGAAGAAAGAGAGAACCGACGGCGACGACGACGACGACGACGACGACGACGTGTGTGCGGTCGCGTGTGCGCGCGCGCGCGCCACTCTGGAGTCCGAAGGCGTGCCGATGCAACCTGCAATCATCGGGGTGGAGCGACCACCTTCGACCCGTGCGTTCATCCTCAGCGCACCGCGAACCTCTCGACAGAGTACCCTCGAGCTACTTTCTCGTGTCTCCAGAGCCTTTCATTTTTTGCAATTCTTACCGCATTCGTAACTCTCGAAATGCCAAGGTCCACTTTTCTTTTTCTTCTTTAAACAGAAGCCGCACTTTTCGTGCAAACACGATTCGCGATAATATCGAAACAAATCGAGCCCGGCCGAGTACTACGACCTTCGGGCTACATTTAAATAACCTCGATTAACATACCGCGCCAGAGTTAAATTGCCGACAAATGTTCGCTGTTTCCAGCGCAGTCTAGAATTTAGAACCGGGGGTGAAAAAGTGGCGCGTATCAGTGAACGACCACACGAGAGGCATTCTTCAGGAATAGTTCTGCCATAACTCTTCCAGCGCTGACGATAAACAGAAACGACGGGCTCGGTCGCGTTCTTATAAAAATGTATGAACGCGGTACGGACCTTGCGGCTGGTGCTCGCGTTAATTACACCTAACGGATTTATCGGCGGGAATCGCGGGTTTCAGCCTGGATCGGGAAAAAATGTACGCGTCAAAAAGGACCTGCACGCCGTCGTTTTGATTCATTGCCTGCCGGGACGAAAATTACGGGTTGCACCGCGAGAGTTCATTTTTCGATTCTATCTTCGCGGTCACGATAACAAATCCGTGCCCCCGCAGCTTACGTTGCGCACGAAGATTCAGCGAGCACGCAACAATACACGAAACCGCGTAACACGACCGCGACAGCTGTTGCTGGTACGAGTTCGCGGTTCACGATTGGTTCTGGATGCCTCTGAAATTATTATACGCGCCGCGAAGCTAGATAAACGCCGCGATGCGACCGCAACTTGCTAATAATTCAACGGCAGTTTTTGCTTCCTGGTAGGGGTCGGTCGACCTGCGGCGAGGAATTGTCCAATGGTCGTGGAAGAACCTCTTAATGGAGGGATCGATACAACCCTTTAAGTAGGCTACAAATTAAGGGTGCTATCTAAGAGGTGTTACCTAGTCGTATTAAGTTTTTGATGTTGATGGAGGTACTGCAAACGTTGGATAACGGTCCCTTTTTAATTTTTCTTTCAGATATCAGTCCTCAAGGAAGTGGAGTTCAGAGTCGAGTCAAAATTTGTGAACTGTCTCGCCAACTCCTGCCCAACGGACTCCAAGCATGCTATCGTGGCGTGGACAGCCGACGTCATAGCAAAGTATGACGCGTGAGAATAAACTGCAGCAGTGGGAGAGTATTAGGGTAGGGGTCTCAGGGTTCGTTACAAAGTGCATCATGCGACTTGCGCTGTGCATAAGTCAAATATTTCGAGAATCATCGAACGCAAACTAATCGTCGCGCATTCCCCTCCAATACTTGTACGCTAACAGGCACAATTAGCGTACGGTGTACTCGCAATTAGACACCGGCGCGGTCGACTCGTACAAATCGCTGGAATTACGTGCACGCGAAGTTTCTAGGAGTATAGCCACGGCTTTCAAGCACTAGCAGCGCTTTCATCTTATTCTCCAGCGATAATAAAAATTCTGATGAATGTACGCGATCGGTCATGCGTCCACGGGGTTTTCTCGTTGCTGCAACTCGATCTCCCCAACGGAATTAGCAACTTGGCCACTCGGTGGCTGCCCGACTGTCACGAATCTCTTACGAGTTTATTTGCCTGATAATTCTGATGGATACTTGTGTTCGTGAATCGCAAATCGGTTCGTACGCTTCTTCTTTTGAGAAGAATAAGTCTGACGCATAATTTGCGGCGTTTAGCATATCTTGAACGTTCAGGAAGTATCGCTGTATCGGAAAGAATCGGGCGTGGGGTGGAAACGATACTCGAGACGAAGGGTGGCCGGTACGCAAAACGGGAGTGGTCTCCGGGGGGATGAAAAGCGCCATCTTCCCATTAGACGTGAGATTGATTTTGCGAGAGCTCCTTCCCGTAACAGGCCGATGGTGTACCCCGATGCTCGAGCGCTAATGTGATTAAAATAATCCGGCGATAATCAAAATACAAAGGGCCGACCAATTTCGGCCGAACGACTTCTCCCCCGTAATACCATTAAGACACGCCACCGTATAAAAAGAGAAACAAGGGTTCCCTTTACGAGCGGTTAATCGCGCGTTTCGTGGCGATTATTAATCGACGTTGCATCGTCGACGTTCGATTCCGTTTCGATCGCTTTACTCTTTGCTTTTGCCGCATTCCTTTATCGCGAAATCAGCGACCACTGAGCGGTCTCGAGGATACGAGACTTCTGTAAGGAAGTACACTTCTTGTTACAATGCTGCTTCAGAAACGGTACATAACGGGTAACCCAATTCAACACTCGAGAACACGGTTTTATTTCTACTCAGATTTCTTCCGTTACATCCACAATTCCGTTACATATCCTCGACAAAAACTTCTAACAACAGTTCGCGAACATGCAACGCCGAGGTCATAAGTTTACCTTCCCTACGAGATTTGTATCCGGTGGTGAATTTTTAATTCCTTTCTAATTCGCGAAAGTGTGCTCGGGAACTAGTTTCGACAAGTTTTTACGGTACAGTAAATTCGCGTTGCATTCTGAGTTCGTTCTCACGATCATCCCCGAACTTCTCCCGTGTTCTTGTCCGGTGACGTTGCTTCTTCTCCCCTCGCCGCTTCATTCGCTCCACCTGGGGGATCGAAAACTCGTAGGCGGATAAAAAGTTTATTTTAATCTATACAAATTTTAAATCCTTCGCGGTCCCCTCCCACCGGCGGTGTAAAGTGCCGCGCCGGAAAATAAGATCTACCCCCCGACCGTTTCCGCCCCTTGACTCGCTTCTTTGTTCTCGCAAATTTTCCAACGTGTTTCGGTTCGATACTCTCACGGAAGCTTTGGTCGACCTTGCAAAAATAATTCTCAGCGATTATATTGTGCGCAACGTCTCTTATCGCGTTTGTTTTTGCTATCTCGTTTGGTACTTCGTGTTCCACTGTACAATTCTCTTGGCAGTAATAGCAACGTTATCTAAATTTTCTAACAAGCTAAGTTTATCGACTGAAGACGGCTACCTTAATCGCCATCGTGGTAATGGCCACTAATTGGCGGAACGTTTCCCACCGCGACCGTGCGCGATCATCGATGGTGCGCAATCATCGCGAAGATACAGTTCCGGTTCGTTCTGTTCTCCCCCCACGATGACTGCTAGTAGTCGAGGAATTACACGCGCACGAGTTATTACCTGGGAGACTCTCACGTGTCGTCGGTGAGAAAGTGAAGACCCGTTCGCACAGAACGTCACGTTCGATCGATATCCCGGCAATTAGGGGTTTGTCAGCTGACCAGACTCATGAATTTTATAGATTTGCTACATTCCTTCGTACTTTGTCAATCTTTACTAAATCACTCCTCGTCGCGTTGTTCTTTCCAATGCGATTTTACGTAATTTATTGTATATGATTATTTTAGAAAGATAAAGAAGTTTTCGAATTTCGTTGGTGACAATTTCCGATCGGCCGAAGCACCAGGCGTTCCATGGGAAACCACAAAACAAGGTCCACGGCATGGTTCATTAATCGCGTTACGCTGAGTTATTGCGTTTGGCGTAATAAATCGACAGGAATCCTTCCGATTATTCCAGTCAGCCGCGAGCACCGAAGAAAAGCGAGTTCACAGGACTCCGCGTTGTGTTGACTCTAAATATGAATCAACCCAATGAGAAGTGACGTTCATGCGCCGCGACGATAAATTAACTAATATCACGAGTTACCTTTAATTAGGCCCCGATCCACATGCGCCGTGAGTCTGTCGGCTCTTTTTTGCACTGGCCTCTGTGTTATTGATTGCCTGGAATCTCTTCGCAGCGTTGCTCATATTTCGGACACGTATTTCTAACGGCCGATACACGCAGAATTTCATTTTCTGCCGTTCTAGGCAATTCGAGCTCGCTCGTTCGAAAACACCCTCTCGTTTCTATTTTTCGTGTCTCGGTTCTACCTTTTTTACCTCTTGACCTATAACAGCGTGCTAGACTCGGGGTTTAAAATAAAAATATTCTCTTTTTCGGCTTTTTGAGGAAAAAGTGTCTTATTTCGATCTATTCCAGAGTTTAAATATGCTAGACCACGATTAGACGAAAATAGCATCGCTGGATCGACATAAACACCTCTATCTAGTGTTCCAGCTAACGGAATCGATAGGCACTGAAGAAAAGTATCGTATTTCGTTCTGTTCTAGCGTTTGAGTATGTTAGATCACGAGTCACAAAGGGTTCCGACGAAATTAGCATCGCTGGACAGACATAAATCGACATAATATTGCAAATAATTTCAACGAAGCACAAGTTCTTTGTCGAAGCCCACTGTCCAGCTTTCAACGATGTGTTATTGAACAGCCTCCGACTTGGAGGTTCTTCTCTGGATTAAGGGGAGTCATTTAATCGTAATTAAGTACCTACACGTTCGCGTCCAAGTACATAAAGTTACACGAACGCGGGCCACTCGGAGCGGCGGTCGAGCTGGACTAAAGGGGTGGCCAGTGGTCGGTTTAAACAATTATCACAAGGGCTGCAGCTTGCACGAGTTGACAAGGGTGATAAGTTATAGCGCGTGGGGTTGCTTAGGAAATGCTGCGTGGTCGAGAGGCCCGTGCCTTCGACCGCGATGAATTACGTCTATTACGCCCATGCAACTTTTCTTCTCGATGACTTTTTCATTTAATCCAAGCGAAAAGTTGACCTCGTTTACGTTTCGTAAAAAAGTTCAATTAGCTTGAAATTACGAGTAGGCGGGTACACGGCTCATATGAAATCGCATTAAGGGAGAATTCCATTGCGAGTGCTAAGGTTTCCACGAAGAACATAGGGGAGAAAAACGAAGAAAGTATTTCGAACCTGTATAAAACTAGAGGTTTCAGAAAATGGAACGAATAAAGGAGTTTTTGTCCAAATAAACAAGTCTGGTTTGAATAAAATTTTCATTCATACTCGAATCAAGTCGTGGACTGTTTACCCTCTAGGAGTATTACATAAGAATCGCGCGGAAAGGAGCAGTCGTAAATCTGGTGTCGGGCGTCGGTTAGGAGTGGCGGGGTGTGCGACACGGGCCGAGTGTCCTTTATAGCATTGTTAACAACTAATGTATGCGGCCGGGGCCCTCGAAACCCTCGCGCGTTTAACATTCTTTAACATTATTATACACATGGCGCCCGTCTGAGCACTCTCCGCACGTTGGCCGAAGCGCCCCCGCGTCTTCGGACCAGAAACGACCCTTCGCGCCCTCCGGGGAAGATTTTTGTCGGTTTTATTTAACTGCAACCTCGGAACCCTTTCCCGTCCTCCCTCGACCATCCGGCGGACGGGATTTTTTCGTCGTCTCTCCGCTCTGGGGATCTGCTTCAGCCTCTCCGGCTCTTTCTCTCTCTCCCACCATCGCGAATCCAGTCACGTTTTAAGACTTACGATCCAGGCCGTAATTTCGACGAACAAGTGGCGCTTACTACCTTCTGATACGACTTAAGAGACGATGCTCCTGAGGGAACGACGCGTTCTCTGCGAGAAACGATACTCACCGCGTTTACGCGTTTGCGAGGACGCTCGATCGAGGAGGCACTCGAAATTAAGAAGGTTGCGACACTGACTGAAGGACTAGTTACTTTAATTTTACGTAAATTTACTCAGTCATAGAAAATTTACACAGCAGATTTGGAGGTATATGTTTCAGGGGCCAGTGCCACTGTATCACAGTTACCACTGGAAGGGATTCTTATTCTAACGAACCAAGAAAGAGAATGGAAAGATAAACCTCCTCCATTTTTACATTTCATCGAGGGAAGTACTTAGAGTACTCGTTAAACTTTAGTCTCGAGCAATTGTAACGAGTTTTGGTTTCGGGTCCTTTATTACTGGTGAAGTCTGCACACAACAACACCCGGAAACGGATCCCAAATTTAAACAGCAAATACGATACCGATAGTACTAATAAGTTTGGAATTCTGAAAGAGCGACGAAAAAAAAAATACGAGCGTAAGAGTCGCGCAGCTCGCGCCCTCAAAAGCGAGCATGGAACGCGATGAATAGAGTTTGGACGGGCTCCAAAAAATACAGGGAGCCGAGAACGAAGCGATAGAGAGAGGATCGCCCGCGGGACCAGGGAAACGAGACAGCCACGAACGCTCGAACGGGCAAAACGAGCCGCGAGGAGAAAATCTGGAGGAGCGAGAGTGCGATAGCGAGCAAATAATAGGGAAATGATTTGCTCCTTGTTAGATAAAGGACACTGC